GGAAAGAGACACAGGTAAACACAGAAGAACTGGTCCAGGTGCACCTTCTTCTGGAGGAGACTGGAGGTACTAATAGATAAGATGCCTGAACACATTCAACACTTAATTGAACTGTGGTTTGTCATTAGTAAAGGAAAATTGTATGAAGACCTGACTTTCAGCCATAGGCTGGCCATTTACGATGACACAATAAAATAGGCGGAGTCAGGTCCTGAAGATGATGGTAATAATGAAGTGACTTCCTGGGTTTGTGGCTGATGCATGGAGAGAGCAGAGACCCTCATTAAAACATGCATCCCAGCCCAGCGCTGTGCGGTTGTATGACTCGTTTCACATTCAAACATTCAACTAGTTACGAACACGTATTAAGGTAAACAAACACGCCTAAAGTATCTATTATCTTTCACTTCGATTAATAAAATAATATAACTTTCTGAATATCAATTCCCATTGTTTTTCTCATTTGCCTACAGTATATGTATATATTTTCATTTATAAGTATGGGTTGAYACTAGACAGGTATATAATCACAGTTTATCCACTACTTTTGATAAAATGTGGGATATGGAAGGGGATGTTGATACAGGGCTTTAATAGGAAAAAACAAACAAACAACCAAGTATTCATCCTATTAAGAGACACCTTCTGTTCCCGTACTTCACGGATTGGACTTATAATAGAAAGGCACAGGCATAAACACACTGTTGCATGTTCCTTTCAACAGTTTTAACAGGGAAATATTTCACCATCAGCTGCACATGCCTAACAGTCATTAAAGTCTACTTTAAAATATTACAGCAGTTTTAACAGTGACCATGACTCCTAACCCCATAAATCCCTCAGGGGACATTTTGCATTTCACATATCTCAGCTGCACAAACAATACAAGCTGTGCTGGTGTAGATCCAGTAAAAGTACACTCCCAATGGAGAAATTCTTGTTTAGTCCAGTTCAATTTTATAGCTCTGCTGGGATTTCCTCATTTGTCACACATTTGACCAGCAATGACGAAACTCCTCAGGAAGCCTGGCACACATGCCTGTTTCTTTCTAGTGTGTAAACATATTTATTTACTTTTTATTACAGGTACACCTGATAAGCAAATTGTTTTGTTCTTTGTTCTGTCCACTGAATCATTCACCTGTTTCATTTGGAACCCTGTAAAATACAGAAAACACAATATACCCTACAGGATTRATATATTGTTCTAATTGTTCTGTTRCTTTTAATTGTTCTGTTACTTTATTATCTTTAAAAGGCTGATTTTGAAAAAAACATAAGAGATCATGAGACACTTATGAAAAAAAAAACATTAGCAAACAAACATGCTGAAACACAACATCCTCTCCACTACTGTTTGYTCAACACAGTGGCGWATCTAGGATTTTTCTGAGTAAGGGGCCATCAAGGGGCCACAATATTCATAGAGAGGCCAAATATTTGTTTAACATCCTTGCACATAAATCCTTGGTTTTGGTAAGATGTATAAATGTAACCGGTCACGTGTCCCAACAATTGTAATGCAATGTAATGTTATTTAAAAAGCTTAAATTCAATTTCCTTGGCAATTTTACATGCATTTTTACTGTACACGGATAAAATATTTTCAAAGCATGTGAGAAAATGATGCCATTGTTTGCCAGTTGAAAGATATTTTTGCAAAATTGTTCAAGTCTTTTAAAGAGGAGAAGATTTCTGTMAGATTGATTCATGCTGGACTTTACTGTTTGACTCATTAGCGCCTCTAGCGTTTGGACATGGAACTGCACCCACCATCATTGCTCTCAGGCAAAGGACAGAGAGTGACAGGACAGAGGCACTTCAGGGGRCCAGTCAGATTTCAGCAGGGGCCAATGCCCCTATGGCCCCGCCCCCAGAAATGCCCCTGGTACAAGAGATTATGCAGCTTGATTTAAAAAGTAATACCATCACTGTAAGGGCAACCACATGGAGTGTGGTTGCCACATGTTGCCACATGTTGGAGCAATTCCACTTCACAAGTCTTCAGCAGTTTGACCAGTGAACTACTGTCAGAAGTATGCCAGGTCACAAACAGGATGCAAACAGATGTTTTAGGGAGAAAAGGTTCTTGCATTCTCTGCAAGTTTGTAGCATCTGGATAATGTCCTGATGCATCTCAGTAATCCAGGTAAAAAATCAAAAAGAACAAAAATTGTGTAGGTCTTCTGGAT